CTGCTGCATTGAATACAAGGTGAAGGCCCCATGTGCCTGCAGGGCTAGTGGTCATATCCAGTGGTTAGTTGTAGCTGGGTCTGTTTTGTAAGCCTCGGCGTCTCATATTCAGCAGCTGGGACAATAGTGTCTGCACTAGGCCAATTGCATAAAAACTTTGGGCATTGTTCCAAGCTATCTTCCCTGACCCTGGTTCTCCTTTCTGACAGTTTTTGAATTCCTTTGTTTTTCTGCTTAAATTAGACTCAGTTGTTTCTGTTGCTTTAGCCAGTAATTTTAACTGATACCCTAGGTGTGCATAACACAAACACAAACACAAATTCCAGAGCTAGGTCTTATGGAGTAAAGAAACTTTATTAGTTACAGAATTTTACATTTCTAGAATGAAAACAACCAGAAGAATACCTTTGGGTAATATCTGAAACTATAAAGACATCTAAGCATGTTTTAGGTCCTGTGTTTTAGACTGTATGTAGACCTTCTCCATTACTTTTTACCTCTTCTTTGTAGACTCCCAGAGCCGAAGGGACTCAGCCATCACCTACTCTGGCCTCTTCCTTTTACATAGACACTGTCCTTAGGGTTCTTTCTTTCCTTCTTTTCATTCATTCAATAAGTTAATATGTGGTATTGCCAACACAGTTGGGTACTGTGGCCAGATATACAACAGTGATTATGCCAGAGCTATTGTCTTAATTGAGTTCACAACCAAGTTGTAGAGACAGAATAAGAGAATATTTAAATAGTATGGGAAAAGTACAGATTATGAAACTTAACTTGGTTTCAGGGGGTCAGAGAAGGAAGGGGTCCTGGAGGAGGCAAGGAGTGTGCTGATATTAAAGGTTTGAGTGGACTTGAACAGTGAAAAGTTGAAGTGGGAAGAGTGTTCCAAGAAGAGGAAATGGATAGGCAGAGATGGGGAGGGTTTAATGAGAGCCTGGTTCTAGGAGGTTGCAGGAGTGGTTTAGCAGGGCAAGGTCTTGCCTGGGGGATGGTAGAAGATGGCATGGACTATCCCTTGGAGGGCCGCATGCAGGCTATCAAGGATTTGAGGTTTTAATTAGAGGGCAATGAGGGGCTCTAAGAAAGGAAGTTATACAGCAAAAGGGGGAGTCAAGGAGGCTGTCTCTATTTAGTCAGTGACCACTTTTGTGCTGGGAGCTATACTTGTGTGAAAAATACCTCTGGGTAATATTTAAAACCATAAAGAAACCTAAACATGTTTTAGGTCCTGTAGGCATTGGCCCTCCTCCCACTGGGCATTGACCTTCCTCTGGGCTCTCCTCAGGCTTGGCAACCCTGGAGTTGAGACCCCATTAGCTCTTGGGCAGAGCTTCAGAAGTCAGTTTAAAGCTGTTAGGATTAGGGCTGCGTGGCAAGCTCCACAGCCTGAACTCTCCCTACCCTTAAACCCTCTCTAGGGCCCTGGTCTGGAAGGTGCAGCTATTGCTTCAGCAGTACTGGCTCCTTCTCGGTCTGCCCAGCCATGACCCAAAGGCAATTCATTTTAAAGGCAGGGACAGGGCTTACTCTCCAGCCTTCTTGTTCTCAGGCCCGTCTTTTACTTGGTCAAGTCACGGCGACCAGTGAGTTATTTGTGTTGCTAAGGTGGAGTCCATTTTTGCAACATGTGAAATTTCTCACATAACCCTCACTTTCTGCCCCCAAACCTCCCCATCCCACCACTTGTTTTCAATTTGCTTATTTTTCAATTTCTGTTTTTTGAACCTTGTTCAACCTTGCCCTTTGAAGAAAAAGACTCCAAATATTTTTTATAAATGTCATAACAATTTGTGAATGTGAGAAAACTGTGCAGTATTTTTTTTTAAGATACAGAATTCTACATTTCCTCCAGACTCCTAAATTTAAATTTTAACAATTTAGTCTTCTTTGGAGTAACAAAGGAACATTTTATCCTGTAAAGAGTCTTTTTGAAAAGCACAAAGTGATTGTTTAAAACTCACTTAACCAGTCTGATATTTTGTAGTTGCTTTTAAAATATCTTTTTATTCTGTTTATGTTGAACAAAAACAAGTTGGCAGATGCAGAAAAGCATGAAGAAGAAAAGTAAAATCATTAGTCACCCCATTGCCAAATAAAACATTTTAGTGGGTTTCTTTTATATATATTTGTTCTATGCAATAATTTTTTCCTTTTACAAAATTAGGGCCATATTATTTTTCATTCTGGTGGATTTTTTTTTCCTGAAGATTCTACTATTTCCATTTAGTTAGCAATGGTATGCAAACTTGATTTTAAATCCTGTGCTTGCATAATAGGCCATGGATTAAATACCCCAGCAGTCTGTAATTACTGGCAACTTGGACAATCTAGTTTTAAGTAGGCATTTGTGTTATTTATAAAATTATTTATTTTTGACTCTTGCATATGTTATTTTTCTATGCAAATATAAACTAAAAACTGCCCATAATTTTACCAGCTAGATAACCCTGGTTGACATTTAAAAAAATAATTAAACCCACACAGTTAGAAAGCTATACAAATGTACAAAAATGGAAACCAAAAACTCTCCTCTTCCTCCTGCCTCCTAGACCCTTTCCCCCAAGTTTAAAATTTCTCACGATTTTTTCCAGACATGTTTATCTATTTACAGATTTATTTATGTTTATTTATGTAAGAGTCTATATTTCTCACACTGTTCTGCATCTTATTTTTCTCTCTTAGGAATAATTCTTACAATCTTTATGTGGTATTTCTTTACGTGGTGCATCCCTAGCTCAATAAATGTGTCTTTCCAGATCAGTTAGTCAATCTTGCCTGCAGTCATTGACTCTTCTCCTGGATTCTTAGATGTAAGGTAAATAGATATGCTACCCGCATGTCCCAGTCTCACCATCCCTCATTTCTCCAGTTGTCAGCCTCTACCTGTGTGCCTGTTGGATCCCTGACCCTCAACCTCCTTAGTCTTCCAGGTTCCGGGAGGAGGGCCCAGGGAGTACTATATAGGCTCATAGCCAGCTTTTAAAATGTATTCATTCATTCAGTGCACCAAGTCCTTTGTGCCCTCTATTTCCAGTGGACAAAGTCCCTTGAAATCAGTGCCTACCATTGCCCCAGGGTTGATGCCCTGAGAGAAAGTCCCCTCTCCCTGTCCAGGGCCCTGTCTCCCATGGTGAGTGGGTGGGTCCAATCAGTTTGCTCAGAACCACCATGCATTTACATATACATATGAACACAAATGTATCCATGGGTGTACTCAAAGTAGTAACATGAATTTTCTGTAAGAGTCAGACCTCTCAGCTGCTGTCTTCTGACACATGCCTATCCATAGTTTTACTTGCACATATTTTTGCTTATGGTGTTGTGTAACTGTGTGAATACTTGTCTGAGATGGAGGAAGCCTTTGTTTTGACTGGAGATGATTATACCTTTTGAGTTGCTGTGTTTTCCACGGAGGGGCAGTGAATCCTCACAGTGACAGCTGGATAGGAGCCTACTGCATCTTAATAAAGGAAAATGTTAATTATTTGACCTAAACCTGAGTTTCCAGGATGTCTGTCTCAAGGCAGAAGAAAAATGAAGGAAGGAAGGAAGGGGGGGAGGGAGGGAGGGAGGAAGAAGGGAAGACAGGAAGAAAGGAAGGAGGACAAAAAAAAAATCCATCTCTGTTAGTTCACATCCATTGCAACTATTGGAAAAATTAGCTAAGGCCACGTGTTCCAGATTGAAGGTCAGCAGTCATTGTCTTTGCATTTGGGGCTGTTTTTGATGCTGTTAGTGCTGCTATTTCCATTGTCGTTGTCATTGTCTCCTCCTCCTTATTACTACTGCTATTACTATCATTATTTGAATTACCATTCCAGATTCATGCTAAAGGAATCAATTAATCAAAAAATTTGTTTTAGTCATACATTGTGAAACATGCATTTGGAATGGTTCCTTGAGAAAGCTGGGTGCAGAATACAAATATTTTGAATGGATTTATCTTAGAGTTGTACTGCTTTTTTTCCTTGTCATTTTAAAACCCTTAATATGAATAAATTGTTTGTATAGTGGGCCTTTTTTAAATCCTTAGATAAGAAATACATGGTTTGAAAGCGGAGAATAAAAACATGAATGATAATGTTTGCAATGCCCAGGGGAAGGTCCTTGCTGCTGCTCCTGGGGAGGCGTTATAATCGACTGTTTGGTGTGTTTATTTCAGGCTGCAGATAGTGGCTAAAAGTGGCTGGTTGGTTGCCAACACATGACTTAGTTGCCAAATGGAGTGTTTAGTACTTGTTACATTTGACTTATATCACAAGTTCTTCCCATTAACAGTCTGCTGGTGATAACCTACTTGGCTTTTCATACTTGGTTACGTTGAAACAGTCACTTGACAATACTGGCATATCACAAAGTTTAATACTGAATAAAGGAGTGAGTGAATGACTACATGGATTCTGCCATATACTGATACAGTGCTTGGTGCAGAATAGGCACCCAGTAAATGTCTGTTCAATCAGTGAATTAATCCTGTGTAACATTTTTTTGGTCCACTGTACCAAGGTTAGGTCTATGGACTTGAGACTTTAAAGGCTGGCAAATGGGATATAAATATATGAGATAATAGTGCTTATGTATGTGTCAGAAGGACATTTGTATAGAGGTATGCTGCTCATCTGTGTCACTATTTAAATATCATGTTGAATTAAATGGAAGAATGAATCATCAAAGTGACCCTGAGTCTAAATCAAAGTACAACCCTGTAATGCTGATAATCTCCATAATCTCAGGTCTGGTTTCTTTCTTCCTTCCTTCCTTCCTTCCTTCCTTCCTTCCTTCCTTCCTTCCTTCCTTCCTTCCTTCCTTCCTTCCTTCCTTCTTTACTTCCTTCCTTCCTTCCTTCCTTCCTTCCTTCCTTCCTTCCTTTCTTTCTCTCTCTCTCTCTCTCTCTCTCTCTTTCTTTCTTTCTTTCTTTTTTTTAACAGATTCACTTCAGGAATTTTGGCCCTGGATTGTTATCAAATATGCATTAAAATGGTGCTCTTTATTTTTAGATTGAAAACTTGCAAGAACAACTTAGGGATAAAGACAAGCAACTAACCAATCTGAAAGACAGAGTGAAGTCCTTGCAGACGGATTCCAGTAATACGGATACTGCTCTGGCAACGTTAGAGGAAGCTCTGTCAGAGAAGGTGAGCTTTTCTCCATTAGCTAATACTACCTTCAGTCCCAGGTGGACCTCATACTCTCATACTCACCCCTTTCAGTGGACTTGACACACTGCAGCCAGGGGCATCTTTTGGAAATGCAAAGAGTAAAGAGCACTCGCAGGTAGGTAATAGCATATGAAAAAAGTCAGAGGTAGGAGAGACTTGAAAACCTACACCAGCTTATCACAAGGACGAAACAAACTGAAATCCTCTACCTGGCCCATTCCTGCATCTCATCTGGCCCTTACCAACCAGCCCCCTCTCTGCCTGCCTGCCTGCTCCTTCCCTCTACTTTTTCAGCCTCATCCCCCATCTCTCTTCCTCTGTTCTTTATGCTATACTAGCTATGCTGGACTTTTAGGGTCTTCAAGTGTGCCATGTTCCCTCCTGCCTCAGACTTTTTTCAGATGCTGTTACCCAGTTGTGAATGTTCTTTACTCTCTGCATATTTATTTCCTCTTCTTGGGAGAGGTCATCTTCATGAGAAGTTGTATTGGGCAGTCGTCAAGGATGTGGACTTTGGAACTAGACTGCCTGGGTTCAGATTTTAGGTCTGACACTTAGTATTTTGGACAAGTTACTCAACCTCTCAGTTCCTCCATTTCTTCATATGTGGAAGGGAGTAATATTAATAATAATACCTACCTCAGTAGATTATCTTGAGGAGAAAATGCATTAAAATTTGGAATGTGTTTAGAATAGTAGGTATAGTAAATTGTCACTATTATTGTTTTTTTCTTTTCTTTTTTTTTTTGAGTCGGAGTCTCACTTTGTTGCCCAGACTAGAGTGTAGTGGCATGCTCACAGCCATTGCAGCCTTGACCTGCTGGGCTTAGGCAGTCCTTCTGTCTCAGCCTTCCAAGTAGCTGGAACCACAGGTGTACGTCAGCATGCTCAGTTAATTTTTTGATTTATTGTAGAGATGAGGTCTTGCCAAGTGACTCAGGGTGGTCTCAAATCCTTAGGTTCAAATAATCCTTTTACCTCGGCTTCCCAAAGTGCTGGGATTACAGGCATGAGCCATAGCACACAGCCTGCTTTTTCTTAATAATTTCCTTAGGGGCATCTCCTTGGTATCCCCATTATTTTCTCACAAACACTATGGGCTTCCCAGAATTCTTGTTACAATCTTAACTGTTCATTCATCTGCTTTTATGTGATAAGCTGGTCTCCTCTGCTAGACTCCAAACCCCAGAAACATACCCTATGTGTGTGTTAGCTTTTCATTCCCAGTGCCTAGCATAACACCTGCCTGGGGCTCTCTCACTGGATGCCAGTTGAATATGTGACATCTGAGAAGAATGAGTGAAAATCCTGGCTTCTATGGAGTTTAGTTTCTAATGGGTAAGAGACAGGCAGTAAATAAGTAACATACATAGGATTTCAGAGGATAATATTGTCTATAAAAGAAAAGAAAGCAGGGAGAGGTGCAGGGAGTGGAGTGGTCAGTGTCACTGAGAAGGAAAGACCTGAAGGAAGTGAGGGGTGAGTCATGGAGCCCTTCTAAAGGGAGCATGTACTGGCAAGTACAAGGGAGTTGGGAATGGAAGGTGTAGCAGATCTCCTGGGCCTTGTGAGAAAAGATTTTGAAAAGTTGGCTTTTACTCTGAAGGGGATGGGATCCCATCCAGGGAGTTTCCTTCTGACTTACCTTTAAAAAGATTACTTTGAATAAAATAATGAATGAATTAATGAAATCCATTAGGCAAATAGGTCTCAATGTTTATTGATTTTTAAAATGAATGCTAGTCCATTTCATTCTGACTAAATTAGTTAATTCATTGTCTCAGCAACTATTGTAGGTATCACACCCAGGAGCTGAATTTGCATGTTATATCCTCACCTTCAGAACTGCTAAGTGTCAAAGAACCAGTACCCAAGAGCAGTACAGATGAAGTTCTTTAGGAATTCTGAGAAGGGACAGCTTATTTGTTGGTTGGACATGTAAGGTGCCAGTGCAGTTTTTAGGCCCAAATTATTGATATTATTTTCAAAATCCACTTGAAATAGCAGAAAAGAAATTAGCTGGGTGCAGTGGCCCACATCTGTAATCCCAGCACTTTTGGGAGACTGAGGCAGGGGATTAGCTTGAATCTAGGAGTTCAAGACCAGCCTGGGCAACAAAGTGAGACCTTGTCTTTATAAAAAAAATTTTAAAAATAGCTGGGTGTGATGGTGTATGCCTGTTGTCCTAGACAAGGGAAGGCCGAGATAGAAGGATCGCCTGAGTGCAGGAGGTCGAGGCTGCAGTAAGCTGTGATCGTGCCATTGCACTCCAGCCTGGGTGACAGAGTGGGACCCAACTCAAAAAAAAAAAAAAAAAGATTATAACTTTAGGGTTAAAGTATAAGAATTAGAATTTATTTGAAGACATAAGAATATTTAGTAAAATCACTTTTATAAAAAATGATACTCTTTTCTTTTCAACTTTCAAAAACTCTCTTTGGTAATTTTGTATGTAAATTCAGAATGAGAGGGATGTTCAAAATTATTAATGATTATGTGTTTCTCTTGCATTTTTGGGTGATACGATGTCAATTCATTTCTGCCTCTTGGTTTCTTTCTTAAAACTCACAGAAGTAAACATATGCCATGTCATTTTCCGTGTCATATGCTTTTGGAAGGATTTTATTATTTGTTTCCTGGGCCCTATTAAGATTTGCCTTATTCTAGTTTAAATCCCAAAGCAGTTCCCAAATCTGAGGCTGAGGGGTGTCTGGGAAGGGAAGCTGAGGTCTGTGGGAGTCTGGCCACCTCAGATTGTCTTCTCTGTTTAATAGTTGCCTCATCTGGGACTGGCCTCTTCCCTCTCGGGGTCTTATATTCAAAATACACATTTGAATATAATATATATCTAATATATATATTAGATATATATATATATTGGGGTACCTTACATTCAAAATATACATTTGAATTCACTGACCTCCAAGTTTCATGCTCTTCTGGATCTACCTTAACTCTGAATTATTCAGTTTGCTCATCTGTAATCTCAGACACATCACATCTGAATTGGACCATAGATGAACACTTACAAACTTAGATGAATAGAAGGGCCAGGCAGGGAACAAAAATTAGGAAAATGGGTTTGGTGCAATGTAATAGGGACTACTGGTGACTGTAGCAAGCTGGAGAGTCCCTGACCTATCTCAAAGCATTCAAGTTTTGATTTTAAAAAATTATGATGCTCAAGTCAAACAAAAGAGCTCTGTGCATCAGTTTTGGCCTATGAGCTATTGTTTCCAAACCCAAATTGCCTCTGAGTTTTAGCTTTTCACAGCAGGTATAAATAAAAGTGAACATAGAGAAGTTTATTTGGAGGGAATTTTTAAAAGGTGCCATATCAGAATGCTAATGTGTTTGAAAGGCACAGATAAAACCCTTGAATAGTTCTCTAACATAGGACAAAGAGTAGAAGATGTAATTGTTTATTACAGTGAATATCAAACCTTTGTGTATGTCCAATAATCTTATAATCTGGGAAGCTTCTTAATATAGTTTCCTGGTTCTCATTTCCTGAGATTCTGATTCTGTTACTCTGATGTATAACCCAGGAATCCATGGTTTTAAAGCATGCCCAGGATTCTGATGCAGGTAATCAGAAGACTAGACTATGAGAAACACTAAATCTATGCTCTTCCATTTTAAAGATGGGAAATAGGCCCAAGAGGTGAAATGACTTGCTCGGAAATGAAAATTTTGACATTGCAGCATCATTTCCCATTTCTGGGCCTGGACAGACATCATTAATCCATCGCAGCACATGCCAACTTCTCAACCCGCACTCCAAGAGGAGTCACTGCTGCACTAAGTTGCCCTAGGTTGAGACTTTGTTGACTCCCCTGGACTGTTGCAAGGTCATCCACCTCACAGGAGATGGGATAACACTAAAACTCAAACCTTCTGATCTTTGTGCTTTTGGTAATACCACAGTCTCCTTTTTACCCACATTTAATTACATAGGTCCTCTGAAACAAGGTGTGGTGTGAAAATATAAAATTATTAATAAAAAATTAAAGATTTATAAGTACCTTTAAACATTTGCTGTCTTTTGGCTCATGAATAGAATCCATCAGGCACTATTCACCATTTCCCTTGGATTATGGCATCCCAGGGAATATATTATTCCTCTTAATTTCCAGGAACTTATTCAACTATTAAGAATGTGCAAAAAATAATGCTGCTCAATGAATTAAGACTGAGTATGACTTAGTTCTAGGATTGACACACAGAAGCTCAAGAGACGGAACCTAGTGTATTTATAAAACTGGTCTTGCCAAGCCTCACTGTAGCCACATAGCAGATAAGTAGTTGAAAAAGCCAGATAGCAGAGCTAGGGGCCACTGCAATTTAGTTACCACCTGGTGATAAAGCACAAATAGATTAGACCTGTGCAGAGCCAGATGAGTGCACAAGGAATGCTTGCCAATGCAAATAGGTCTAAAACAAGAACACATTGTTGGAATTTCTGCAAGTTAGTTGTTAATCAAGTAGATCATGGCATATTAAGGCCTTTTAACACATGTTTTTGACATCTGGCCCTGTGCGACTGACAGTTAAATTAGTTTTGGGATTGACGGAGAAATATTTTGTAGTATTGAATCATCAATAACACTTAAAAACATTATAGTGCTTGCTGATTTTTTTTGTCATCAATGCCCAGTCAATAGTACAAGTGCTTAGAGCAAATCGACCTACTTTCCAAATGATTCAACACCTTCTAGCTGTTAACATGCCTGCTTAATTTTATTACCCTTCCTTTGAAGCTAAGATGATCCCTAATTTTGAGTATTCCTTCCTTCCTTTAGCCTTTTTAATTGGTTAAAAGAGCCATAGGCTCTTAGTGCTGTCCCCTGGAAAGTGAGGCTGGGAGGATGGACATGCGTTGAAGTCATGTGAAAGGAACCAAGAGGGAATAAATGCCACATGATCCAGTCGGAGGGATTCCCGGGAAAGTTTCCAAGTCAGGAGGTGACATGGTCAGTTTGGAGCCTTAGAAATGTCACTCCAACAGTTGTATAGTGGAAGTGATGGGATGGAGAGAGCTTGGTGGCCAGGTGACCAGTCAGTTGTATTGTAGGCAAAAGGCAGTGAAGACTCAGTTGCTGAAAGCATTAAAAGCCCTTGAGAGACTTACTTATGCTCTGTAGCCATTTCCTTCTTTTGTAGATCAGGTAATCACCCACTCATCATTGTCACGGGTAGAATAAAATATATATATATGAAGTTAATTGACTCATTTGTACTATTTCTACCCCCACTGTTGTAATCATATACTTCATTTAAAGTGTTTTTAAATAATTGCAAAACAGTAATGGTATCCTCCACCTTGAAAACATTAAATATATAAATTATTGTCATTGGGGTAGAACAGTTGCTTCCTTGGGGGATTTTAAATCACAGGTTAAGTGTTCACACTAATTTTCCTCTGTATTACATACTGGTTTACAGTTGTCGTATGTATCAGACATTGTCTTGTATTATGCACTAATAAGACTGTAAAAGATAATATCAGGATCCTTAGGTGTGGTTGTTGCACCAATATTTTTTAATATGGTCATTCAAAAGGAAGCTCAGATATGTGTTGGATAGTTTGAAACGAATTTCAGAAATCTAACTCAAGCGCTACCCAGATGGAAATGTTCTTTTTTTCTTTTTTAAAAAGGCTCTTACTTTGATATCAGTCAGGTTCCATGTTTTTGGAAAACAGTGTTTTTATATCAGTGTGAATCCTCAGACCTCCTTGAATGGTTCCAGCAGTGTTTGTGGCAGTATGGTCTCATGGGCATGGCTTATGCCACTTTACCTTTCTGAGCTCTGGGTTTCCTTACCTCTACACTGTCACTAGGAGCACTGTTTCTGCCCTTGCAGTTGTGTTGAGGACTGATGAAAAGAACATATCACAATACCTGGTATGTACTAAGCCCTCAATAAAGAAAAGCTGCTGTTTTGTTCAAAATAAACCAGTGCTTTGAAGTCTGTACTGATTGTCAAGAAACCATTGAAAACACACAGAGATAAACATCTTCAGACATTTTGGAAAAACATATTCAAAATAGACTGATTCTTTCTTTTGTCTCAAGTTCTCACTATGAATCCAGACCTAAGTCCAGGAGGGCCTAGGTCTTGCCCCCCTTAAATTCCCTGTTTATCCAGCAAACAGTCTTCAGAAACAAAAGATGACTCTTTGGTGCCAAATGGGAAGGTCAAACAAAGAGGGCTGAACCAAGAGATCTGGTCTGCTTCTTTCCTTGCCTGTGCAAGGTTTTGTAAGTCTAGAGTCTGGGTCCCTGCACCTCCCTCTTCTAGAACTGCTCTAGGAATTTGCCAGATACCTCCAAGAACCAAGAATAGCCTCAGAGCTTGACCATTAAGGTCCCTTGAAGCCCTGTGATGCTAACTTTTATTAACAAGTTAAAAACTATATCAATTATCTTTCCCAAATTCTGTTATGCACAGTCTGTCTCCCCATAACCAATTCTGAGTTTCTTGTATATGTGTTGATTCCTGTAGAGCATTTTTAAAAAAAGATGTGTTGTCTCTTACTTTCTATTGTAGTGTACTTTGGCATGCACGCTGATGGGTTCTCACCTCTTCTTTCTTCTTTTTTGACTATTGCCTCACAGGAGAGAATAATTGAGCGCTTGAAAGAACAGCGGGAGAGAGATGATCGGGAAAGGCTAGAAGAGATAGAATCCTTCCGAAAAGAGAACAAAGACCTGAAAGAGAAGGTCAATGCTTTACAAGCAGAACTGACTGAGAAGGAGGTGAGTCTGGAAAGACAGATGAATTATGTTGATAGTCCTCATAAACCCATATTCATCACAGCTGCAAAAGACTAGAGACTCATTTGGAGGAAACATTGTAATCTTTCATTTGTAAAGCAGCCTGAATTAAAACACATGCACGCACGCGCGCACGGACACACACACACACACACACACACACACACACACACACACACACACACACTTTTTTCTGTAACTTCCTTAACTGGTGATGCCCTGTGCATATCAGGTGATCCTTCTACCTCAATCTCCTGAGTAGCTAAAACTGCAAGTGTGTGATACCATGCCTGGCTAATTTTTTATTTTTATTTTTTGGTTTATTGTAGCAAAAAGGTCTTGTTAACTTGCCCAGGCTGATCTCGAATCCCTCAGGCAATCCTCTCACCTCTGTCTTCCAAAGTGCTGAGGTTATAGACATGAGCCACCACGCCTGGCTTAAAACAATATACTTTAAAGGAATGTCCTGCTTGGAGGATGCTTTGGGCTCTATTCCCATATTCCATGGAATACCTATAACCCCCTCAGTTTTCTTAGGGATATTTGGTGAAGCATGACATGCAGCAATACACATTATTTTATTTAATCTTCACAACTCTGGGATATGTGTCTGTGTCTGCAACTGGTCCCTTGATCCTTATTTTTATCTGTGGGCAACGTCTGTCTCCTTTAGAACTCTCGTGCATACCCTTCCACTCTGCTGGACTGTATGCATGTATTACAAGAAATTGATTTGCAGAGTTATGGAGGCTAGTCAAGTCCAAAATTGATGACTAAAACTGAGCACCACATCTGGCAGTTTAAAATTTATTAAAAAGAACAACATATAGTTGCTGTTAGCGGGGAGCAAATAATTTAGCTGGGGTGATGATATGTCTTCATCACGACAAACTGACTGGATTGTAAGGTCCTGTATTATTTCTGTGGAAGTGATATGATAAAGAGCATTGAAATTGGAGTCATAGACCTGAGTTTGAGACTATGCCTGCCTTTAATAGCTGGGCGATCTTGGATAAGATACTCAGCTAATGAGAGCCTCACTTTCCTGACCTGAAAAATGAGAATGGCTAACTTGTTCCTCAGAGGTTGGTTAGAAGTGTCTTGCTAGGTGATGGTGACCATCATCGTTAAAGTCATTCCAGTGCCCATGAAGTAGCCCAGCATAAAATATTAGGCAATATCATTTACTGAGAGGCCACTGTGTTTAGTATCTTCCTAGGTATTGCAGATGGATAAAAAGGAAATGCACAGAACTTGGTTTTGGGACTCATACATTTAGTTAGATGTTGTTAATCGTTTCATATTTGGTGGCATACATTGCTCTTCTAAGTGACAAATTTATGTTCCGTGATTTATGTAAGTATTTATTTCCTTAGTTTGAAAGATTTAGACATACATGGAAGTTCTTGATTTCTCACATGAAACAATTTAGGTAACCCCATGTCTGAGTTGGGGAGATTCATTACATCTATAGAATCTGCATTACAAAGAGCTGGACCATAAAGCCTACTCTACTATACATTTAAAATAATTATTCATTTGATTCTCCAGAAGATGTTTGAAAGACAATTGGTCATTTTTGGGTTAAAGGAATGAGATTTGGTAAAATATGTTAGGATGCTTCTTTTATATTTGACTTGCCCTTTGAGAGGGGAGAAAGCATTAAAATCAGTATTTTCTTTCACATTTGTCTCAGAGTCTGCATGGTCTGACAGCAATAAATGTAAATGGAAGGTTCAAGGTGTCTGTTTTGTTATGACATGTAAAGACCACCTTGGGACTTACATCATTAGCATGACTTTGAGACGTGAAATGTGCATTTACTGACCACACCATTTGGTCACATTGATTCTACTGCAATTAGATTCCTCTTGGTTCTGTAAGCAGGCCAAGTTTAATTTCCTGGCCAGAGCTTGCTATTGTTACCTTAGTAAAACTATATTTACCCTTTCTGTCTACTGCACATTTTATTGCTGTGTATAGAATCAACGTATTCAAATAGAAGACATTGCTAGTAGAAATTGCAGGGTTTTTACTCACTAGCACTCTTTCTCTTTCAGTCTAGTTTAATTGACCTCAAAGAACATGCATCTTCATTAGCCTCTGCAGGGCTGAAAAGGGACTCCAAATTAAAATCTCTAGAAATAGCCATCGAACAAAAGAAAGAGGAATGTAGCAAATTGGAAGCACAGTTGAAAAAGGTAAGTTAAGTATAAGAAAATACATGCTCATTTTAAAATGAATTTGTAAAATGGAAAAGGAAGACACATTAAAAAAAAAGAAACAAACTCCTTATCTTTTGCTGTCTGCAGATAAAGGAATTAATTAAACACTCTTACCTTGATTGCTAAGAAGTCTGTATCAAATCTGTCTGTGAACCTGAAAAATTATCTAAAGAAAACTTGAAAAATAGAGGAAAATAGTAGCAGAAGTCAAAAATATTATGAAAACCAGCTATTACTCTCTGGGCAAATCTCAACTATCAACAAAGATAAATAGAAATGTTTTCAACAAATCAAAGAATCCAGGGGCCCCATTTTGTGTTGATAACCTTTTACTACTTTCAGAAGTAGGTCAATTTTTTTTGTATTAGAACTTTGCAAAAGTTTTCCTGACATCATTAAATTTCTAGAAGTTCACCAAAATAGTCAAGTCCCTGGCATATCTGTAGAATGACTATTTATTTATACTTACCCAAAAATGACCTTAATGTCTAAGAAAGCTTGTTGTATGTAGAAGGCTTTGGAAAAGAAAGCAGGAACTTTACATTGCGGCATTACCATGTTTTCTCTGACCTGGACATTTTTGTGGAGTGCATTTCCAGTCATGCATTGTTCCTTTGACTTTTTCCCTGTGTTGTTTGGTATGTCTGCACTCATTGTTCACATGAAACTCATAACATTATGAGTTTAAGCATTTTGTTTCCCTTCGACAACTCATAAACTTATTCAAAAGAGATAAGAATCTAAACAATCAAACAATGCATATAATAAAATTTGACTATGTATAATTCAGAGCACACTGGAATGAAGATTTATTAGCTAAAGTTATGAAAATATATGACATGGATAGTCAAGGATGTGAAGGAATCACCTGTCTGAAGGAATCACTTTAGATATTTTAAAATTTAATATATGATTTTGTATGATGCAGCATGTAACTGAAATGTGGCTACACCGTGCTCACTTTACAAGGACTTTTAGAAAATTATAATGATAAATTTTATGTTAAGAAAGTCTATTTACTAGTATAGAAAAAAGATAAATAAGCAGATCAAATCTTTTAATAACAAAACAGCAAGAAAATCTCTATATTGCAAATCTATTTCCCAATCCATTCAACATCTCACTTATTTCAAACAATATTTAGTTAGGTAGAAATCTCCAACAGTAACTAAAGGTATATAAATGACTCATTTGTGGGTATTTAAGTGGGGATTGACTTGGCTATTTATGCATTGGGTGTATGATTACATTCTTGACATATATAAATTTGCCTTATGTTATACATGCGTATACAGATTAAGATATGGTCTACAAAAACTTTCTTTTTTAAATTTAACAAAACAATTTTGCAATCATAAGGCAGGCTCTAAGATAACTCTGTAAAAGAGAGATACATTGATTCCTTATACTATCTTATCTCAGTCACAGTGTGCTGAGTCTGGAAGAAGGAGGGCTTCAAATAGACCTGGGCATGAAAGATGGCCTCCATCTACTCTGATGAGTCATTATGGAGATCAGGGGACTCCATTTATTATTGCTGCAGATACATGCGTGAAGCCCTCCTTTTTAGTTTAAATCATCTATGGAATTTGAAATACTCTAGTAATTAAAAGGAAAAAGTTCACATATTGATGCTTATAGTTTACAGGTACATGACTCCACTAGTAAATCAACACCTTTGCAATTCAGTATAGTTTCTTTCAACATAGCTGTGGTTTGCCCAAGAGATCACTTAGAGTATGTGGTTTCCTTAGACTCTCAGGTAGATACCACGTACTGAAATTCACAGGCCAAATCCTGTAAACATTTTAGCATTATTTCTGATAGCATTTTAACATTCTGCTAGGTCACCAGAATTAAAGTAACAAATATGGTTCTCTTCTGTAAAGGACCTATTTGATTTATGAAAAGATAACTTATTTCTAAGTATACATATAATCTTTGCTTATACTATCTCCTGAATGCATAGTACAGTGAGTTTAAATAAGGTAATTGTAATTTAAATATTTTTATGCCTAACCTGCAGATGCTATTTTGTTATTTTTGGCTCTCTGGCATTAACTACATTCAAAAGTTTAAAATATTTTTGCAGTAGTCTTTAATTTCTGCTAATAAATAGTTCCGTAAAAACCTCAAATGCCTATCACCTTAAAAAGAATTGAGATCTACATGAAATATTTGAAAATATAAGCCAACAGTATGTGAATATACATATAAACACATCATTTACTCATGGAAAAATAAGCAGCTATAAAAGCTTAAGAGTGTCTGGGCCTCCCTTTAAATAAAAGGGTATGTGACTTGTGAATAAAATGTAAAGGTTTATTAAATGAAAGCTGAAAACATAATAGTTTTATTATGTCATAAATACACCATGAATTCCCAGTGGAATTTTGCTCAAGATTTGTGAGTGGCCAGGTATTTTTGCCATAAAATCTACACAACATTGTAGATGTGTTTAGTTGGACAGAAGCCTTGTCTGCCAGTGACAATGAAGTCCAAATGGTGATTTACATTTTTTTTGCCTTATGAACAATGAGTTTTTATATAAAACTTTGTGAAGAACATTTACACACACAGTTACTCTTTTTTTTTTTTTTTTTTTGAGTTGGAGTCTCACTCTGTCGCCCAGGCTGGAGTGCAGTGGCATGCTCACAGCTACCCCAGTGTTGGCCTGCTGGGCTCAGGCGATCTTTCTGCCTCAACCTTCTAAGCAGCCATGTGCTACCATGGCTGGCTAATTTTTCGATTCATTGTCAAGATGAGGTCTTGCCAGTTGCCCAGGCTGTTCTCAAATCTGTGGGCTAAGGCAATCCCCTCACTTGGCCTCTCAAAGTGCTGGGATTTCAGGCATGAGTGACCGCACCTGGCACACAGTTACCTTTTTTTTTTTTTTTTTTTGAGTTGGAGTCTCACTTAGTTGCGCAGACTGGAGTGCAGTGGCCGCTCCCGGCCACCGCAACCTCGCTTGCTGGGCTCTGGCGATCCTTCCACCTCAGCCTTCCGAGTAGCCGGAATTACA